TATGCTATTTGTTGTTGCGTCGACACTGTAGCGCGAGCACCTATGCAAGGCACGATCCAATTCAATGGTTATTATGGCTGCAATTGGTGTTTACAACGTGGAAAAAGAGTTTGGCACAAAAAGGGTTACACTGTCAAGTATCCACTAGTAGCCGATGTCGTACCTGATCAAACAATGGAGAATACTTTAAAATTTGCTGAGGAGGCCGTGAATACAGGCAGAGTCGTATTCGGAGTAAAAGCGGCATCCCCCCTGTTACTACTCAATCAGTTTCACATTATAGAAGGTTTTGTGCTTGATTTTATGCACATGCTACCTTTAGGGATCGTGCGACAGTTTGCGGAGTACTGGCTAAACTCAAAAAACCAAGACTATAGTTTATCAGTGGAACAAAAAAATCGTGTTGATACACACTTAAGTTCCATAAAAGTGCAGTGAGGAGTACAGTGAGTGGCCAAGAGCAATCACGCAGTCTACCAGTGCACAAAGCGAAAGTACCGTCCGAGAACTCGCTGCACTTGCTTTGCAAGACAACGACGGCCGCGCACACAGCCGCGTGGGACGCTCTGCGACACGAGGAGAGATAGAGAGGTTAGCCGCACCTGGCCAAGATCGCCACTGCTGCCGTGAAGCCGCCGTCCGAGAGCTCGAAGAAAGAAGATCTCCGACAAGTAAACTTAAGCATTTAATTAGTTAGTAAGTCGCTTGGTCGGTCGCGTAGGTGTGTGTTTCGAGAGAGAAAGAGAGAGAGAGAGAGAGAGAGAGAGAGAGAGTGTGTGTGAGCGCCGCGAGCTGTGTAGTACGTCGTTCTTAGTCGAGTTGTGGCGAGACGCCATATTGTTCGCGTTCGCGCGTGTGTCGTGTTGGCGTGCATCGTCGCACACACCCACGTGTTGGATCGTGTCGCGTGGCTACCGTCGGCCAACATTCGATTTCGATAGCGAGGGCTGCATTGCGTGTGTTGGCGTGCATCGCCGCATACGCGTGCATCGGTTCGGCGGATCGGCGCCCTTTCTCGCTGCATCGCGCACTCGACGGATCGGCTCCATTTCTTGTTGCGTCGCGCGCTCAGTGTCTCGGTGCCACTTTTCGCTCTCGTTGCGGCCCACGTGACGTTGGCCATATCTCGTCCGATTCGACGCGTATCGTGTGTGTGCGTCTCGTGCGGAGCATCGAGGCTCGCGTGCGTGTATTGGCGTGCATCGTCGTATACGCGTGTGTGCCAAGTTGTACCGCGGCACACGTGCGCTGGGGGTCGGCGCGGCGAGCGACCTAACAAAGCTATAGAGAGAATACAGAACAACTCAACAATACCTGAGTTATTGTATGTTCGTTCGGCAGACTCAAAATTATCGGAGTATCTAGGCCGCACAAACGAAATAATTGTCCAAGAATAATTATTTACTTTACAGTATGCTGCCACGTATGAGAAAAAAATTTTTTTTTTAATTTTCTTCTTTCTCTTTTTTTTTTTACACTCTTGCAGCTCCTGCGACCTCGATCTCAAGGCGAACTCTACCCACGTCGTTTGTGTCACCAGTATGGGATAAAATGTATATTTCCGGGTAGGCCCCGGAGGTTGCTCCGCGGGGATGATGTACTTGGCCTTGGTCCTCAAAAGCGGGCGATATTCCCCAAACGTATATCGGCACTGTTGCGTGTTCTGGTTGCTGTAGAGGTACAGTGTAGGAAAAGGTAGAGTTCACCGGATACTGGGATCGAGAGGAAACTAGGTGCAAATTAACTATGTCACTCAATATATGCTGAATAGAATTGATACACTTTATTTTTTAACTCGCGGTTTTAGATCGGAGCTTACAAGAGCTGCTCACTCGACAAGAGTCTGATCAAGAGTCTCGCTGAATTTAGACTGAGAACCGCTGCTGCTCGAACAGCGAGGCGCTGCGAATCGGCACCAGCTGCTCGATTGTACAATTTCGTGTGCGTGAGCCCACAGTCATTGCATTTGCTACCAATGCTGCACGGAAAGAGTTCTTGCAACTGATACAAGATGCCCAGCTTGTTGAGGAGAAAGTACAAGTTTCATCCAAATTTTTCAATGATTCAGATGAAAAATTTTCATACTTCTATTTTCTATTTAATAATATGCACCATTTTTCTTTCTATAATAATTGATATGATGATAAAAAATCCCATGCCTGTACGGGATTAAAATTTTTTATGTATTTTCTGTAATAGTATGAAACATTTGTTTTATTGCTAGTTTTAATTAATCTTATTTCCGATATTTATATTCTATTTATATTCTATATTAAACATGTTCGGAGAGGCCACAAGTTTCATCTGGGTTTTCAATTATACCCAATTTATTCTTTTTAATAACAGTGTATATTGTAATATTTAAGTTTTTTTCTTTTATATAGATTATCTTCGATAAAAAATGTTTGTTTATATGAGAATTAGTAATGTAAACTATGTAATGTAATTAATGTAAACTTACCTATCGTTTATCTATTACTCCAATTTTGTGAAGAGAAAATTACTCTTTGACTCTATATTTTCGATAAAATTAAATAATATAGTAAAAAAGGCAATCCGCAAACAAAAAAAGTCTTATTGATAATTTAATTAACAATTTATCGTTAATCGATAATGCAAAGAGCTGTTGCTTTATTAGCACATCGATGATTGGGTCGCTTCTTCAGAGTCTTGTTCTCTCGTGCGGCCAAATTTGGATCATTCCGCGACTCTCTCTAATGATTAATTATCAATTTTTAATATCAATTAGCGGAATAAGCAGGAGAAGCTGCGCTACTGCAACCGAGTCTTCGAGTAGAACAAGCTGCTCCTAAGCGTGATTAGTCCAGTGCACTTAGCTGGAAAATGCCTGCCAAAAATTTTTAGCAGCAAGCGGCCTACACCACCTTGTAGAGGGTGTCCGTGGGAACATGTGGGTGAGTTTAGTTGTCATTTGGACAATAACTTTTTTTTTATTAAGGGGGGGGGTATAGTATTTTTCGCAAAAATATTCAAGAGTATTCAGTTTTTAAGCCAATCCGAGCAAAATTAACCAAGATATGACCATTTTAATGCACGTGTAAAGAAAAAGGAGGACTAGACCTCAAATTTTTTAAACGCATTTACTGAATATATATTGATACTGAATAATATATTTTGAAATCTATGACAGATACAGTTATGCTCCCGCGAGAAAAAATGTAGGAAATTTAATCACTTTTTCAACGAATTTAGTTTCATTCCGATCGGATAAGTATTTTCTGAGAAAAATAGGAAAACGTGTGGAAAAACGTGGTTTTTGGCCAAATTTTCAAAAATTCACAGCTCCTTCAATTTTTGGATTTAAGAAACGAAATTTCGCAAAAAAGTAGCTCTTATCAGGTAACTGGAACTTGTATTCTGTGAGACTTATAGTTTTCAAGTTATTTATTTAGTAATTTTTTTGCAAAAAATCGCGTCTTCAGTTCTTCGCTGGAAAAATCTTTCACAGTTAACTTAAGAAGTTTTTCCCAATGAATTTGAAAACTAGAATTTTAAACCTTTAAAACGTACATCTCGTTTTTTCAATCTTACACTCAAAAGTATGAAAAAAACGCTCCCAAATTTTTCGAATTTTCGCGAAAATCCCATCCGTCAGGCAGACAGAAGGTCGGAGTAGGGTAATACGAACGATAGGTAAGTTTACATTAATTACATTACATCGTTTACATTACTAATTCTCATACAAACAATCATTTTATTTAATAAATTATATATAAGATAATCTATATAAAAGAAAAAAAACTTTTCATGCTTTGCTGATGACTTGAAAATAAACGACGCGTCGTTGACGTTGTTGTCTTGGGTTCTGCGCTCGTCTACGTAGTCTTCTGCAACAATTGATACCTGTTGAATATAATAACATAATACATGAATAAGGAATATTTATAATTAACAAAAGCAATAAGTACCATTGTTACGAATGCGATATACATTGGCCTGCACTGCAGGTTGATTTCGGAGTTGCTGTGGAATTTGTATTATATTGTCACCATCTCTGAATAGATCGCGATGAAATTGAAATCGTTCATTAAGTTGCATAGCCTCCCCTAGTCTAAAAATTGGAGTCATGATTTACACCGATATTCATGGACAATTCTTGATTAAATCCATGTTCCAATTTTGCGACGGCTTTGACGTCCATTGGATGAATATTTCTAAATCGGTTGTTGTAATTTTTACCAACCAGGTTTTACCCCACTGTTACAAACTGCATCGGGTTTATATATGCCAACGAGTACGTCCTCCAGGCTAAAAGCAAAAAAAGGCGATTAATTGAAGAAAATACATAAAATAAGAAAAATTAATTCATTATAACATAACTCTAGTGAATACCTTATCCTTGAATTCTGTCTCGTTTTTTAATTGTCTCCTAACGGCAAGGCTATTTTCCATTGAATTAAAAGTGACCCATTCCCGTTGAAATAATTCTTTCAATTTGCAAAGCCATCTCCAAAACGGTGGGTATTCGCCCAATCTATGTAGCAACACGCTATGGTAGCTTTCTATCGAATTGTTCGTTTGGGTAGAAGCTCCGAAAACAGAAAAATTAGATGGCCTCGCTCGATTAAACCAGAAGTTTCTCATATAAGAGATGAAATCTGCTTAGTGATTTCATGGCTTGCTTTTTCTACAAGATTATTGAATGTATCTACTATCATCATTTTCTCTCACGAAGTCAGATAAATTGAATCGGTATATCTTTCCATGGAGACACTGAAAAAAAATGTAACTGTTTAGTATGCTGATAATGATTATATTTCATCTTCGCTCTCCATACATTACAAGTGTAGATGTCCTCGACATGCTAGATTCACACGAGTTTCAGAGTCTCAGTATTGCCAAAAAACGAGCGGGAGGGGGAGCTATGTGTTCCACTCGCTCTCCCGGCTCGCGTCTGCCTCAGTTTGTTTCTCGTGCGCACAGGAGACGCACGAAGTTTTGTGGAAGTCCCGAAAGAGAGTTTTTTTTCAAAAGTAAAAATGGGTAAGGCAAGAAAGGAAAAGAGAGAGAGAAAAAGCAAGGAGGAGGACGAGATATCTGCCGTCGAGGAGATGATGAAATTGCGCAAGAAGATGGAAAAAATGTGCGAAAAAATGGATGCTCTACAAAGCAAGGTTAAGTTGACCGATGACGATGCATTTCACGACGCCGAAGCTGAGAAAGAAAACGGCTCGTCGAACATTCAAACGCAGAAAGATACTGCAACGCTTACGGATGAAAAGGAGGACGGCAAGCTCGCAGAAACCAACAAAGATGAGGACACGGAAATCTCGAAAGATGAAGAATGGTTAAACATTGTAAGTATCCATTTGTTACAGTCCAGGTTACGGCGCGCGCGCAAACAATGGATTGTAGCCAAAATCGCAGCACAAGATGGCGCGTGCTCGAGCAGTTGCCGAGACGCTCATGTCTGTACGCGTGACAGAAAAGCATCAAAAACAATGTGTGCACGAGTGGCACATAACCTCGAGCGTTCTGAAAAGGCGCAATAACCAACAAACAGCGAACGGTGACAACGCGTACTGATGGGTCGCGCATCTTTTTTTTTTTTTTCTGTTTGTGCAGATCGGAGATGATCCAACGGTCCCCAAATCAATGCAGATGGTTGTGAAGCCGGAATTGACTAAAATATGGAAATTCTACTGCCGCGAGGGAATGAAGGCCGAGGAGGAGAAAGCTCTCATGGAGAAGTACGCGAGTATCCCGGAGTTCAAAGCTCCAATTCTCAACCCTCAAATTGCCGCTACAATGAAAGACGCGGCAAAGAAACGTGACGCACACATGGTCACCATACAGGACATATCAAGCCTGGCCTTGTCTATTGCTGGCTCGCTCATAACTAATATTTATGAGAACAGGCACGAGGGTATGGACATAACGGACATATTGGAACCGTTGAAGGATGTCGGCAGCCTCATTGCCATACAAATGAACCGTCAATCGGCTAACCGAAAAGCATTTATCGAACCTGGGCTGAGCAAAGAAACTATGGAGCTACTGAAGGACACCAAAATAGATGAGTACTTGCATGGCAGTGACTTATCGACCAAAATTAAGGAGAACAAAGCGCTCACAAAAGAGAGTGTAGAATTGGTGAAAAAGACTCCACCAACTACGGCCAACTCACAAAAAACGGTAAACTACAAGACCCCATACAAGACGCAGCTTCGCCAGAGCATGGGGTCTTATACACAGCGAGGCGCACAGGCGAAACCAAAATTCTCCTTCAGAGGAAAGCAGCAGTACGTGAACCACAGGAACCAAGGATCGCAGAACCGGTCGAGCTCGTCCACTCAGGCACAAAAGCCGTATCGCAAGTAGTAAGTAAGGCAGCCGGCAGACTGCAACAATTCTATAGCGAATGGCAAAAAATTACGGATGACAAATTTTTGCTCAACATCATAAAAGGCTACAAAATCGAATTCGACCAGGTCGTTCCAAAAAAGTCGAAAATAAATAAAAAATACCGTGTCGACAACGAGATGAACAAAAGAATAAAAAATGCCATTCGTGAGTTGGAAGAAAAAGGAGCCGTAGTAAAATGCCTTGAAAGGGACGATCAAGTCCTGTCTCCGTATTTTTTGAGGAAGAAACCAAATGGTACAGACAGATTCATACTAAATCTTAAGTGGCTGAATCAATTCATCAAAAAGAGACACTTCAAAATGGAAGACTTGAGAACTGCCACTCAACTAACCAGTAAGAACGATTACCTTGCATCAATCGACATAAAAGATGCGTACTTCCTAGTTGCACTGCATAAAGATAGTAGGAAATACGTAAGATTTACCTTCGAAGATGAGACATATGAATTCGTCTGCTTAGCGTTTGGTCTCTCCTCTGCGCCATACGTATTCACGAAGTTAATGAAAGCTCCTATCAAAATACTCAGAACAGCAGGCTACACTAATGTGATATACCTTGATGACTACCTGGCCATAGAAAATACGCCAGAAAAATGCAGCAAAAACATTAATGCAGCATTGAACTTATTTACGTCCCTTGGACTAATTATCAACCATGAAAAATCAGAGCTGACTCCTGTCCAAAGGTGCACTTTCCTCGGCATGGAAATCGACACTGCTCGCTATTGTGTTCAATTGCCCCGGAAAAAGATGGAACATATACACGCGCTCATTGAGACTTATTTGAACATGAAATCATGCTTCATTCGGTCGTACGCTGTACTGATCGGCACACTAATATCATGCTGTCCAGCCGTCGAGTATGCGTGGCTCAACACGAAAATTTTGGAAAAAGAAAAAATTTTCGAATTGATATGGAACAACTATCGCTACGACGCAATTATGCACATATCAACAGAGGCGAAAGAAGAACTCGGATGGTGGAAAAGTAATATAAAAATTCGAGTAAACTATATAAAAGATGAGCAATACGACATAACAATTTTCACGGACGCATCCTCGACGGGCTGGGGCGCAACCGACGGGAAGCGAAAAATCTTTGGTAGTTGGTCGGCAGACGAGCGAAAAGAACACATTAATTTTTTGGAGCTTCTTACAGTAAAAATTGCTCTACAAGAGCTAGCTCACGATTCGGAAAACGCCCGAATACTACTGAGAATTGACAATACCACAGCCATCTCATACGTCAATAAGATGGGGGGCGTACGGGTTGACAAGCTCAGCAGGCTAGCCCGCGAAATTTGGCAATGGGCAGAAAGCAAGGAAATATATCTCTTTGCGTCGTATATTGCCTCAAAAGAAAATGTCGTGGCCGACCAACTATCAAGAATTACGCAGCGCGACATCGAATGGGAGTTAAACAATAAGTGGTTCGATATAATCGCAAAAGCCTGGGGCACCCCACAGATCGATCTATTCGCGACATCGAAAAATAAAAAATGCAGAAAATTCATATCGTGGAAACCGCAAAAAGGCGCTATTTGCATTGACGCATTTACGGTAAATTGGGCAGAACTTAATTTCTACGCGTTTCCACCGTGTTCCATGATACTAAAAACACTAGCAAAAATAAAAAAGGAAACCGCATCTGAAATCTTAGTCGTGCCACTTTGGACGAGTCAGCCCTGGTTCCCGCTGTTCGAATCACTCGCAACAGAAACAATAATATTCGAGCCTAATGAAAAAATGTTGTTGTCACCTTGCAGATCGATACATCACCCGCAAGCTCATCATCTCCGCCTGATTGCCGCCAAAGTGTCAGGCAAGCGCTGATAGCAAGAGGAGCTCCAGAGGAAGCGACGGAGATCATGATAGCTTCGCTGTCAAACGCAACGCTTCGACAATACAGCGGAGCACTTAAAAAATGGAATAATTATTGTTCGAACAAAAATATCAACATCAACGACATCAACAAGTACAATCTTCTTGGGTTCTTGACAGAAAAATACAAAGACGGTGCGTCACATGGAACATTGAACTCGCACCGCAGTGCCTTGTCATTATTATCAAATAATAAAATAGGAGATCATCCAGACATCACCAGATTTATGAAAGGTGTACACAAATTACGGCCAGCTAGGCCCAAATATGCATTTACTTGGGACGCCGGCACAGTAATTGAACACCTAAAAACATTAGATTGTACAAGCTTAAAATTAATAACATACAAAACGGTAATGTTGATCGCGTTAAGCACAGCTCAAAGAGCACAAACAATTTCATTAATAAAACTAAATAATATTAAAGAGGTTAGTAAAGGATTAATAATAATGATAAGCGATACTGTAAAAACCTCAGGGCCCGGAAAAGAGCAGCCATTGTTACACCTGCCTACTTTTCCGGAACAGCCAAATATTTGTGTTGCGACCACAATTAAAGAATACATAAAGTTAACCAGCCAATTTCGAGGCGATAATCAGCACTTATTTATCAGCTTAAATCCCCCGTACAAAAGCGTGGGAGCAGAAACAATAAGCAGGTGGCTTAAAAAGTGTTTAGAATTATGCGGGATAAATACTCAAACATTTAGCGGTCACTCGACCCGCCACGCCGCAAGCTCGAAAGCTAATGAGAAAGGCATCGATATAGACACCATACGCCGAACGGTCGGCTGGTCAAAAGGATCGCAAACATTTGCTAAATTTTATAAACGTCCGATTGTATCAGATAAATTTGAATTCGCAAAAACTGTATTCCAGATTGAATAAAATATGTAGTTTTTTATGTAATAAAACAATAAACCTTACTCACAAAACTATATATATTTTTTGCCGAATAGCGCTGAACAACTACACTTGTAATGTATGGAGAGCGAAGATGAAATATAATTGAACGATCAAACGATCTCCTCCGGAGTGAAGTTCGATCGAAATTATATAAAGCTTCGCTCTCCATACATTACTCCCGCCGCGAAAACCCACCCCCGTAAAGAGAATACAGGCAAAAAATGAAAAAGTAATACTCTGAATACTGAGGCAGACGCGAGCCGGGAGAGCGAGTGGAACACATAGCTCCCCCTCCCGCTCGTTTTTTGGCAATACTGGGACTCTGAAACTCTGATATACGCCAACGACACGAGACTCCTGCGTGCGTATCCCCACTCCGCCACTTGGCCGCTGCCGGCTCGCGCGCCGACCGGCCAGCGGTATAAAAGACAGCGCCGATTCGATTCGGCACGCAGTTCCACTCCTGGACTTTCCGGAGTCGGATCTCGCTCGCCCGCGAGAGCTTGGCCTAGGGAACGTTAATAAACCTGAGTTAAACACATATACTCAATCTTATTATTTCTCGCTCCTTTCCAAGCCTCCTTCCCACTTCTTGCGCTGGGAAGCTTCACTAGCGACCGCTAGGTGGCGCAGCGCCGGCACCCACAAGCGACTTATCCCCGCCAGGGCTTAAGTATCGGCCACTTCGAGCCTCGATCTTTCCCATTCAGCGAGTGCGGCCTGGACTTTCCGGCCACAACTGACCAGCAAGGCCAAGACAAATTCATCGCAGAGTCACCGCAGCCAAGTTTACGAGCTCAACGGGGTTTCCAACCTTCTGTTGCAGAGTTGACTACGGAACAACATCGGATCTCGGCTACCACCCGATCCACATCAATCACCAACTAAACAATTTGGAACTTGTACACGCCAACTCGGCCTCGGTCCTTTTCAGGACCATCTCACGTAGGATTTCGAAAGACCTCGAACTTTTGCTAAAGATCGAGACTAACCGACTTGTCAATTGCGGAGTGCGAACTCTGAAATTCTTTTCGGTTTCCAGCCTTTTCAAGGCTATCGAAAGCTGACGAACTTTTTGTAAAAGTTCAATTCAAACCGTCTTAGCAGTGGCAGAGTGCAAACTCCTAAACTCTTTTCGGTTTCCAGCCTTTTCAAGGCTATCGTTCGAAAGCTGACGAACTTTTTGTAAAAGTTCAATTCAAACCGTCTTAGCAGTGGCAGAGTGTAAACTCCTAAACTCTTTTCGGTTACTAGCCTTCTCAGGGCTACTGTTCGAAAGCAAACGAACTTTTGTAAAAGTTCAATTAAAACCGTCCTGGCAGTAACAAGAGTGTAAACTTTTAAACTTCTTTCGGTTTTTAGCCTTCTCAGGGCTACCGTTCGAAGGCAAACGAACTTAATCAAAATTCGACGTTCCCGCATAACAATTGGCGGCCCAACGTGTGGGGCTTCAAAGTACGTGGATACATACTACGAACCCGCTCTACGCAATGCCAGTCGAGCGCACTCCTCCGCGCGGCGCGCGCACTCGCTCTCGAGCTCGACTCGAAGAGCAAGGAGTTCCCCCACTTCTGGGAGTGGAAAATCACCCAGTGGCGCCCATACACAGACAAGCACAAGAAGAAGGAGAAGATACTCCCCCACCACCACAAGGAGAAGGAAGGGGAGATCCCCCACCGTCACCAGAACCCAATATAAGGCGAGCTCCACCGGAGCAAGATCCATTCGCTCTCAGACAGCCGAACGAGCAAGACTTGCCTCTACAACAGCTGGACTTTCCGCTGGTAGATCAAGACATCGCTCCTCAGCAAGACTTACGACAAAATAATCTACAACAGCTGGACTTTCCGCTGGTAGATCAAGACATCGCTCCTCAGCAAGACTTACAACAGAATAATCTACAACAGCAGGACTTTCCGCTGGTAGATCAAGACATCGCTCCTCAGCAAGACTTACAGCAGAATAATCTACATCAGCAGGACTTTCCGCTGGTAGATCGAGACATCGCTCCTCAGCAGGACTTACCGCTGAATAATCTGCAACAGCCAGCTTTACAGCCAGACGACATGGCCGCAAGATTTCCACCCGCCTTACAGAGCTGGGAGGCTTTTTCACAAGCGCTCTTCTCAATTCAACCGACCCTGCCAGAGTACACCGGTTTGGATTACGAAGACCCAGATCGTTACCTGACTAAGTGTCAAGAATACGTAACAGCACTTCAAATACCAAATGCTAACAAAGTTAGCATCTTAGAAAAAGGATTGAAAGGCGCTGCAGAAAAGTGGTGGCTATGTTACAAGCCAATGAACCTCACTTTTGAACGCTTCTCTGAGTTACTTAGAGCACAATTCGACAGCCAGTCAATTAAAAGTGCTCTAGCCTCTAAACTGTATGGAACTTCCCAAACAGAAAAAGAGAGCGTAGGAACATTTTTACAGCAAAAATATATGCTGTATCAGAGACTAAGACCCAACGAGGACGAGGCAGCAAAGATCGCTACAATGATCGAACTCCTCCGTCCCTCAGTCCGAAAGAGTCTCAGGCCATACACGATAAATGACTTCGCCACTCTGCTTACCAAGGCCCAAGAATCAGAGTCAGATGACGTCGCAGAAAAGAACACTGCAACTAACAAGCCGAGACCCAAGGACTCAGAGCAGCCAAAGGAGAAAAAGCAACAACTACCAAAGTGTTGGCACTGCCCCGAGTACCATTTCCATAAGCATTGCCCCGTTTTTAATGCTAGGACCACTCAGGAAGGCCGAGGCCAAGAGGCTACTTCGACAGTTCCTCATACTACAAATCAAGAGCGACACAACTGAAGTGGAGGAGACGCCGGTAGCGACGCGCTGGTCCATCTAAACGCTACCAAAGGCATTAACCCAGCTTCCAGATTCTTCGATAAGAGTCTCCATCACTAGGCTAGTTGAACAAAATTCGACGTTCCCGCATAACAACTCGTGTGAATCTAGCATGTCGAGGACATCTACACTTGTAATGTATGGAGAGCGAAGCTTTATATAATTTCGATCGAACTTCACTCCGGAGGAGATCGTTTGATCGTTCAATTATAATACATAATATAAATAACACGATAGTCACTCTTACATAATGAAAGAAGCAGCCAATTAGATACACCCATCCGAATGTTTCTTGCAGAGCGTTCTTCAGGGCCAATTCAAAATCATTAACAATGGAAACAATATTTGAATTCACTAATAATTGTCTAATAAATGTAGCCATCATTCTATAAGCGTTTGTCATTTTCCTTGATAAAAGAAACCATATTATAAGCAATGCGTGATCATGGTACACGGCCATAACCGTGCCAAATTGCATATTTTCATCTGGGATTTCTGTGCATGTCTTGTAAGTAAAATCAATGAGCAATATTCCAACTCCTCCTTCTATGTGGGTGATCAGTTCTTGGTCATAAAAAACCGAATGAATGCAACCGTCCACATCTCTAGGCACTCTTCGCGAAATAGTTCCGCTGCGATGCGCAAAGAGACCGTCGTTGCCAGGGTCTTCTAATTGCAAGAGCAATTGGTTAAGCGAAGTTGAACTGGCTGGAAACCAAAACAATCTCCATCTTCTGATAGAATTTGCTACAGAACTAAATGGAACAAAGCTAGCAGCTTCAGGGTAAAGTAGAGCATACGTATCGTATACTTGACGTGGCTCTCGGTGATCACGCATAGCAGCATTTTTTAAAATATCCTTGAAACGACGAATTTCAACTGTCCCTTGACTCGGGCGACAGCTATCAGAATGTGGTTGTATTTTTTTTTCTTTTTATATTAAAGTGTTTGTGACCTCGTGCGAGGTATAAACACTAGGTATACTTTATTGGTTTAGATTTACAAACAAAATCATAATCACATGAATGCATAGCAATGCTGTTACAATGATAAACCTTATGTCTATACAGTGATAATAAGAGAGAAAAAAAAGAAAAAAAAGAAAATAACAATAATAACAATAACAATTGTACAGAGTTTCACGAAATTATAATCACAGCTCAAAAGCAAGAACATCTACACGTTCAAGCCGCACTCCCAAAAGAACTGGCACAATAGCTAGCACGCCTCGATGTTGGGTCTTGCAATAAGCGATTCCACGTTCAGTGGTAGTTGTTGGCCTATGGTTCTGAGGCCTTCGAGCAGTTTGCGTCTCTGGGTCTGGTACAGTTTGCAGCTCCAGAGTACATGGTTGAGCTCCTCCTCGAAGTGGCCGCACTTGCAGGTTTTGTCAGCAATGATGTTTTTGCGGTAGAGCGATTCTGCGAGGCTGTGGTGGTTAGATCGCACGCGGTTGATGGTTACAATGAATGACCTGGGTAGTTTCTTTTTGTGGTACCATGGGTTTCCACCTGTTGTTCGATATAGGCTGAAGAACTTGGTACCCTTCACTAGTCCTTCTCGCTCATTTATTTGCTCGAAGCTTTCGCGTGAGGCCTCTCCGAAACCTTGGAAAAAGTCCGAGAAAGGAACTTGGGTGGATAGGAAGTCTGCGCTGGTGATGGCCGACTTGGCCAGGGCGTCCACCGCCTCGTTGCCGGGTATGCCAATGTGCGATGGAATCCAGACGAGCTTTAGATAGTTCGTTGGGTTAATTGTAACAAATTCCGCATAGATGGTCTTGATTTTTGAAATTAAGTAGGACGATTTAATGCTTAGTGTGTTCGAGGAGAGGCTATGCAGCGCACTCAGAGAGGTCGTGAAGATGATGTAGTCGCAGTTGGGGTGCTCGAGGCAGTGTCCAATTGCTTCAATAATTGCTGTGTACTCAGTTGTGAAGATTGAGCAGTGCTCTTCAAGTCCTATGGTCCTGGAATGATGCGACTTCGGGCAAAAAACGGCGGCTCCCACCCGAGACAGCCCTGGAATTTTACTGCCATCGGTATAAATGTCTAAAGCTGTGTCATGTTTTTTTAGGTATTCATCGAACAGCTCCCTCCAACTCTCTGCATTTTTGAGTTT